CTGTCAAAATCTCCCCAGCAGTCTAAGGCGAGCTGTACCTTGCTGGCGGACTGGTGGGTGTAGTCACAGTCAAGAAATGCAAGTAGCTCACCTCTGGAGACCACCGGGACTGAGAGGTCTGCAGGCTCCATAGAGCCTGCTGGTTCTCAGGCATCTTTCTCCTGGTCCTGGGGCTTAGCGGACTCCTTAGGCACCATCTGAAACCCTCAGTCCGCTAAGACCCCAGACTCTGGTTGGGATTGGGAGAGCTCTGCGACCCCTTGGGACAGGGGTGGGGGTAAGGGTGGGGGTGGTGCTCCTTCACAAGATGGTGGGGTAGAGCTGTTGATTAAGGGACCCCACCATGATCCCCTCTCAAGGGACCCTCTGAAATAGCCCTCCTGACCTTACCACCTTGACCCAGTCAGGGACAGGTATTATTTGATGCCGACCAACCAATTTAAAAAGCATACCTATCTGAGGGACATTGGCTTAAGCCTAGCCCCATGCCATAAGGTCAGAACTCAGAACAATGGAGAGGTTATATCCACCCCTGCTTTTACCTGAGGCAAGTCACATAGGCAGCAAGTTGGTCGCCTAGCAACTGGGTTGATAGACACCTGAGAGATAAGGCTGGGAGGGAGTTCTTTTACACTCCCATGACATATTAACAAGCTAAAGAAATACAGACTAGATGGAAGTACTGTAGGGTAGCTAAACAACTTGTACACAGCAAATATTCCTCAATGGCTCTATGACAAGTTGGGAGGAGGTATCAAATGGAGTTCCCCAGGGCTCTGTCCTGCATCTGATATTGTCTAATATCTGTATTAATTATTTGAATTATGAGATTGAGTGCATGCTTAGCAGATTTTCAGATGACACCAAGTTTGGGGAAATTGTGGACACTGGAGGGTAGCAGTAGAATGACTGGGATAGACTGGAGAAAGGGTCTGCAATCAATCAGATGAAATTCAATAAGGACAAATGCAAAGTACTGAATTTGGGATGGAACAACCACATGCACAAACACAGACTGGGGAATGAGTGGCTAGTTGGCAGTACTGCAGAGAAGGACTGGGGGTTATAGTGGTGTAAAACGGGTGTACCACAGTGTATACTCCCCTCTTCAATAGAAGGGAAGGGTCAGCAGGGCGTGCGTGCTGGAGATGAAAACTGCAGCTTGCTCGCAGTTTCCCCTTCTCCTGTGTCTCTATTAAAGGAAGACCAGGATACAATATCTTAACTATATACATGGTTTATTCAGGTGCAGAATAAAAGGGGAGGGGATGAAATGAATGGGATATGTGATAAAATAAATATTTACATATAGTATTTTAAAATCAGCAAATAACAGAACAGGTAAGTATAGTATTCACCCAAGACCCACGACAGAAACCTCACCCACAGATCCCCAAAGGGTAAGTATGTCCCAACAATCAATGTGTAAGCACCCGAAAATATAAAGCACAATAAACAGTTAAGAAACACTCCAAGGTATGAGACACAGCAAGCAATTAATAAACACTGCAAAATGTTTGGTAATCCCAAATACCCACCTCCTCTACAGGAGTCTCTCTCTCTCTAAGCCCAAGGAACCGGGCATAGATAGGCAAGCCTGCCACAGTGGTCCACAATCTGAACAGGAGCCAACGGTGTGCTCTTGTTGCAAAGTAAGTCAACAGCTTCCTGGGTTGTTGGAACAAGGGACCTGTACCCTTTTACTTGGGTTTAATGGAAGATGAGGAGAGGTGATTGGAATAAGGAGCCAAAAGGCCCCTTTAAGATGATACAGCAAGCTCAGTTGGCTGTGTGGGGCCACAGATTCAGGAGGGCAGGCTGCCCCTTGCTTATCAGGGAAAACCCTGTGCCCAGCTGGGGAAGGAACATGACAGGAAGGAGGCATATAAACCCAGGGCCTGAGCCAGAGCAGGCAGTCAAGCCCTGCATCTTGAAGGGAGAGGAGCTCCGGAGGGAGATGCCTGCAGCAGACGGACTAGCAGGACCTGAACTTCCCTGGAGCTGCCCAGAGGGAACTAAGGGGAACTGAATGAGACAAAAACCCAGAGCTGGGTAGATTTTTAGTTGGGAAACATTGTCTTGTATTTATATTGTAATTTAAGCTTTATACTGGTGGACCAGGCATGATTGTAGGAGTGAGAGCAGAGACCACAGGGCATGCCTGCAGAGCACACCAAAGTTAGAGCCCTGCTAGGGGCTGGGCATAACATATGGGGCAGAAGCACAAGCACTTGAGAGGCACAAAGATGAGCCCAGTTAAAAGGCCAGAGGCAAGTATATAGTGGAAGCAGCCTCTCCCTGGGCCAGGGGGGGCTGAGCAGAGTTGAGAGCTGCCTTGCCCTGGATCAGGGATGCCAGGGGATCTGGCTGAGGCAAGAACAGCTTTGCTCTGGGTCAGACATGACGGGGTGGCTTGGCTGAAGCAAAAACAGTCTTGTCCTAGGTTAGGGACACCAGGAGGGGCTGGGAACAGGCGAAAGATAATGGCCGAGAGGCCCAGAGACATAGACAGGGCTGAGGCTGAGAGAGCTGGGCCTGAAACAGTTGCCCGGGCTGGAGGCCTGCAGCCAGAAGAAAGGAAGGCCAAAGCCAAGAGGGCTGAGGCCTCTACAAAAGACAGAACAATGTAGAGTAACATCTGTGAGGCATAGGCATGGTTGTAGGGGCAGAAGACCATGAATTTAGCCCTTAAGGCAAGTAGGACCTAAAAGAAACAAACACACAAAGCAAGGAAGAGAACACCCCAGGCTCCGCAGGCTCCCCAGCCTCCAAGGGCATCCTTCCTTCATTACTTATAACAACAAGATGTGGCAGGTGAGGAGCTAGTGTTAGACCCTGGGAGGCAAGGGCAAGAACCAGGCAGGACCAAAGCAACCACTAGAGAGTGTCACACTAACCCCCAGGCATCACACCTGTTACAACTGTATTAACAGCAGTGTCATTTCCAAATCAAGGGAAGTGATTCTTCCAGTTTATTCAGCCTGACCTGGAGTACTGTGTCCAGTTTTGGGTCCCTCCCTTTAAGAAGAGTGTGGGCAGAGCAACAAAAATGATTAGGGGCCTGGAAGATAAGACCTATGAGGAAAGGCTGAAAGAGCTAGGCTTATTTAGTTTGGAGAAAAGACTGTGGGGTTTAACAACAGTCTTCATAAACCTTCATGGTGATTATTATATTATTATATTATTATGCTATTATTAACCTGCACGGAGATAGGTTTTTCTCTGTGGCCATACAGGATGAGACTAGGAGTAATGGCTTCAAGCTGTAGCAGGGGAAATTCAGGCTGGAGATTAGGAAGAACTTTTTGACTACCAGGATCATCAAGTATTGGAACAAGCTGCCTAGAAAAGTTGTGAAATCTCCATCCTTGGAAGTTTTCAACAGCAGGTTAGACAGACACGTGGCTGGCATGTTTTAGGAAGGGATGATCCTGCCTTGAGCAGGGAGCTGGATTGGATGGCTTTGCGAGGTACCTCCAGCTCTACTTTCCTATGAGCCTATGATCAACAGGGCATTCAAAAGTCTGAATGGTTTGGCATAAGTCTAATATAAGTGACAAGTCTGGTGGAGGTTTCAGGCACCTGAGGGAGTTGAAAGATAAAACAAGAAAAGGACTCCTATTGATAGACAGTTTCAGAACACCCATCCTCTGACTGAGATTGTCCAGGTGAGGCAGATAAGATGTGTGGCTGGAAGCAGGAGAAGAGCCCCACCTCAGTAGAGATCAAAGTAAACACATCCCAAAAAACACTTTGCTAAATTGACTCTTGAAAAGAGGATTGGGCTGTGTTGAAGGAGAACATCTTGATTTAGCCCTGAGGTTCCAGGAGCTGCCTCTTGATTTGAGTTAAAATAAGCTCAGTGTTGGAAAATCAGTGGATCCAAGAAACTGCCAAGCCTTAAGAAAGAAGGAGAGAAATAAGAAGGGAAGAAGAATCTATGGGTCAAAGCAGCTCGGCTCCTGGGATAGGAACAGATGAAGAATCTGTGGGCCACAGCAGCCAAGCTTCTGGAACAGGAACTGATGCCCACGCTAGAGCTGTCCTTGGTTTCCTAGTGGATGGGTTTTGGATGGTTAATTAGAGGTGCCAAAGGACAATGCCTGCAACTCCTTTGATCACAGCAACTTGATTGTTGAGGAACTGATGCCCATGCTAGAGCTGTCCTTGGTTTTCTAGGGCAGTGTTTCTCAATCTTCTAAGTAGCAAGTACCCCCTAACTTCTGAAAATTTTAATAAGTACCCCAACGCTCAATTTTCCAGGGGATTTTATATTTACAGACTAATGTGTGTCATATGTTGGAAGAAGCGCTGTATATATAAGGCCGTGATATGACAGATGCCTGATCTGGTGTGGGTAGGGTTGCCACCTTTTACACCAGGGGTGCACAACTCAAGTATGTACCTGGGCTAGAGATGATGTTGGCCAAAGCTAGGAGGGCTGAACCCAGTGCCACGCAAAGCATGGCACACCAAATTATTACTGGAGAATTTAAAGCGCTGCGCAGTGTGCAATGCACCAAATTTTTTACCATTGCTTTGAGAGAAGGAAGGGGCAAGAGAGAGAGGAAAAGAGGGCAAGAGAGAGAGAGAGGAAAAGAGGGTGAGAGAGAGAGCGTGTTGAGGTACCTGCCTACCCCCTGCCTGTATGTCATGTACCCACAGGGGTACACATACCACAGGTTGAGAAACTATGTCCTAGCGGATAGGTTTTGGATGGTTAATCAGAGGTGCCAAAAGACAATCCCCACAGCTCCTTTAATCACAGCAACTTGATTGCTCACCGGATGCCTACCAGCCACACCTCATTCCCATTCCCAGAATAGGGACAAAGTTCTCAGCCCCTGAAACTGAAAGGGTGCTGTGGGGAAGAGAAAGCACTGGATCTCTAAGTGGAAGGGGGCTCTTCTATCTACTCTTACTGTCCTTCAGCTTTTTTCCCCCCTTGCATAGGATTTTATCTGGGCCAACCACTTATATTTGCAAATATCTTTGTTACCATGGCAGCACCAGCAAGTGCATCCAATGGGGTGTTTGTGGTTGTTCCTCCAAACAATACTGGCATCGTTCAGCCCCAGGGGACCCCTGGCACTGTGCTCCAGCCTCCCAGCATCTTGCAATATGGGGATCAGCAGGTTGGATCCATGAATCCTACAAATCGACCTCAACCTGTCTTGAAGCAGGAGAACCCAGGGAAGGCAGAGAGATTCCTGAAAGCGGAGATCAAGACGCTGGCAGTAAGTGTGTTCATTACTCTTGACTCTTTCCATGGGGATGCAAACTGGTACAGTAAAGAAGGGGTTCCATTGGTGCAGTGGTGATGAGAGGAAGAGCACATCTGACTCTTTGCTTTTTTACACTGGGGGAGAAAGCAAAAAAATCCATACCATCAGTTTAGCTCAAGCATCAGATCCACTTAGATCTGCTTTTAGAGTAACTGCTTTGTACCTGCAGGGGAAGACGCCCTAGGTACAAAGGGCAGCAATGACTCCGTGCTGCCCAAATTGTGAAGAATGAGGCTTAATGAAGGGAAAATGAATAGAAATCAGTCCCCTTCCACTCAGATAGCCAGTACTCTGTGCTTTCCACAGCAGTTTTTCACTTTCAAGACCTGAGAACTTTGTACCTATTCTGGCAACGTGGTAGACAAGTGGCAGGGCAACACCAATTGTGTTGCTGCTATCAGGGGAATTGGAGGCCCTGCACTTTGGCATCACTAATTCATCACTTGAGATCCATTAGTTAGTAAACCAATGACACCGCAGGCCTGGTGACCATCCTTCTAGTCTGTGACCCTTGCCCCTCCTATCCATTAGTTATCATCATTGAATGGAGAACAGAAAATTCTTTAAAGAAGCAAAGGAATGACACTGCCAATGATACTCTTAGGGAGGAAAGTGCAGATATTCAGTAGGGCTCTGTGAAATTTTGCCACTGTTTTAACCTGTTCTGAGGTCAAAACAGCAAAATCAAAACAAAACAGATACGGTCGAAACAGCCTTGAAACAAAATGAGGCGAGTCAAAATGTTTCACCGTTTCAATGCTGTTTTGAAGTTTCACCCATAGTCTATAATGGGGAAGGTTGAAACAGCCTATAACTTTGTCATTTCTGGCCAGATTTGGATAAAACTTGCAGAAATGGTAGCGCCTTCTGAGGGCATATGTGTGCCAAGTTTCAAGAAAACAGGTGCAGGGGGTTCAGAGAAACTGCACCCCAAAGTCTTGAGAGCCAAACTTGTGTCATATATACGTGTTAAGCCACAGCGGGGTCAAAACTGCAGGCATGCTAGCCCCTGCAGAGGCCACAAAGCCTGCCATGTTTCAAGGAGATAGGTGCAGGGGGTTCAGAGAAACTGCCCCCCAAAATCCTGAAAGCAAAGCTTATGTCACGTGTATGTAAGCCACAGCAGGGTCAAAACTGCAGACTTGCTAGCTCCTGTGGAGGCCACAAAGCCTACTAAGTTTCAAGGAGATAGGTGTAGTGGTTTTGGGGGAAACTGCACCTCAAGCTGTGGACAAGCAAAACTCGTGACATAGATGACACTGTGTGTGTTAAGGTGCAGCAGGGTGAAAGCTGCAGGCCTGCTCGCCCCTGCTGCGACCACGAAGCCTGCTAGCTGTCAAGGAGATCGGTGCAGGGGGGTTATGGGGCCCTGCACTCCTAGCTACTGACAGGCAAAACTCGTGACATGGGTGCTTGTGCAACTGATGCCTCTCATCAGGCAGCAGGACTGAAGATCCCCCATCACTTGCCACCACAGACCTGGGGGTAATAATTGACCACAGTATGGACATGACCCAGCAGTGCGATGCTGTAACCAGTAGGGCCAACAATACACTAGCATGCATCAATTGATGCATCTCCAGCAAAACCATTGCAAAGAAGTGATTCTCCTGCCCTACTCGGCTCTTCTCAGCACTGGTGAGATGGCAGCTGGAGTACTGTGTCAGTTCTGGGCTCCACACCTTAACAAGGACATGGTAAAGCTTGGGAGAGTCCAGAGAAGGGCTAACCATATGATCAGAGACTTGCATGGCAAGCTGTATGACAAAAGGCTGAGGGACCTGGGACTCTTCAGCCTGAAAAAGAGAAGGCTGAAAGGGGACTTGGTAGCAGCTTACCACTACATCAGAAGCGTACATCTAGAGCTCAGTGAGCAACTGTTCACCAGGGCATCCTTAGGGAAAACTAGGAGTAATGGTCACAGTCTGGATACCCTAGTTGTGAAGTAGTTTTTCCTAATGTTGAACCTGAAACAATCTTCCAGGAGTTTGTGACCATTACTCCTGCACAAGCACCCATGACATGAATTTTGCCTGCCTGTGGCCAGAGGTGCAGGGCCTCAGAACCCAAAAGTCCCTGCACCTATCTCATTGACAGCCGGCAGGCTTCGTGGCCTCAGCAGGGGCTATCAGGCCTGCAACTTTCACCCTGCTGTGCCTTAACACACACAGTGTCACCCATGTCACGAGTTTTGCTTGTCTGCAGCTTGAGGTGCAGTTTCCCCAAATCCCAGCACCTATCTCCTTGAAACTTGGCAGGCATCGTTGCCTCAGCAGGTGCTAGCATGCCTGCAGTTTTGACCCCACTGTGGCTTAACACATACACGGAACATATGAGTTTCCCTTTCAAGACTTTGGGGTGCAATTTCTCCAAACCCCCTGCACCCATTATCTTGAAGCTTGGCATACATCATGCCCTCAGAAGGGGCTACCATTCTGGCAAGTTTCATCCAAATTTGGCTAGAAATGGCAAAGTTATAGCCTGTTTTGACCTTCCCCATTATATCCTATGGGTAAAACGTCGTAACTGGGTCGAAACAGCAAAACGTTTCGACGGAACGAAACGGAACAGCTGTTTCGACTCGAAACAAAAGTCAGAATGAAACACTGCTTTGTTGAAATGTTGAAATGCTGGTCAAAACAGAACGCTTCCATTTCGCACAGCCCTAATATTCAGCACTAGATTCACCCAGCTTCTGTGAGCACGAGCAGGTCAAGCTCAGGACCCCTCTCCTGGTAACTGCAGTACAAAGCTGATCAGGGTCAGGCTTTCACAGATAGTGAAAATGTCGAGCTTCTGACTCTTCTCCAGCTGTCAGGGAGCTGTCAAAGGGGTGAGGGAGGTGGTGGGTGAAAGGGGTAAGTCAATATCCTGGTGGCATTATATATAATCATGTTTTCTGCAAATCAGTTAAGACCCGCAGGCTGATGAGGAGGTGCCAGGTTGAGCAGTCTCATTGCAGACTTTGGAATTAGCTGGATTAAAATAACTGCCCAGGAAAAAAATCATCGTTCTAAAGGTTAAGTGCCCGAAGTGGGTCATGGGGCAGTATAGACATCCCTTTTGGAATCGATTAGTCTGTCCTGCTGGGTAATGCAGGCCATGGAACTTTCCCAAATTAATGCCTCTTGGCGTGTAAGCAGATCTTTTAGAAAATGTCCAGCCATTGTGAAACTACCTGTGATCAGCGTCCACTGAAGCCATTATAAAATTGTTCCAAAGAGTAATTGCTATTATTGTCAATCATGTGTTCTTCAGTTCTACTCTAAATTCATTCAGCCCACAGATCTTACACATTTTGTCTGTTTGATCAAATAGACCATAATAAATATTTCATTTGATGTGTAAATACTGATAGACTGTGTCAAGTCACTCCTCAGCCTTCTCTTAGTTTATTTTAAACCAGTGGGGTCAAGCATATGGCCAGATCCACAGAGCTTTTTGCTGTGACTGCCAACAGCCAAGGCGTTATTGCCAACATCACTCAACCCCATTACCTCAGTTTCCAGAGCTATAGTGTCAGCATGGCCAGTATCCGGGGGTGAATCCTGCTGCAAAAATTAATATTTTTGATCACCACTGACAACTGAAATCAGTGGCAGCCGCGGCTGAACAGCTGAGGCATTAACTCCCTGGTTGCTGGCACTGAGACAAAAGCTCTGTGGTTCTGGTCTGGCCTGTGAGGAGCACTGCAGTCCCAATCCAAATAAGTTTGGCACCCCTGATTTAAGCTAAACCAAATGAACTCTCCAAGTTGTTTACAATTAGGCATGTTTTCTAACCCTTTACCCATTTTTGATTGGTGCAAAATAGGTACAACTCCACTGATTTTGGTGTAGTTTCAGTCCTATCATCCAGCTTGCTGTATGTAACGTTTTCCCCATTACATGCATGAACACACCAAGAACTTGACCAATTATTGCTAACATTTTCAAAAGAGTTATCTGATGCTTGGGTCCTTGGGCTATAACTGATTTAAGGAATGTTCTTATCAGGTAAATGCCCACTTTCCAATCTGGCACTGATCAGCAATAGAGTCCCCAAATGTTTCTGATCATCCTGTTAGGTTTTTGCTTGTTTCCAGACACTACCAAGTGAGGAACCACAACCTACGGCTAGAGCTAGCTGTGAATTTTTTGTCACTGTTTTACAATAGAAAATGCCTTTTCTGTAATATCAAAATCTGCTGCTATTTTCCCACCATAAACAAACAATAAAGTGCATCATTTGGGCTGGGTCTTCCCAAATCAAACTGAATAGAAATGTTGCACTTTATGCCATCTCAATGTTCATCTGAAGCCCCTGAGGTCCTGCAATAGCTCATGGAAACTGTCATGCAGGTGAGGATGCCCTCAGTCTCTCTGATGAAACTGGCCCCCTAGCTCAGCCTGAATCACCAAATATCCATCACAGTTTCACAGTATGCTACAAAAATATCATGGCAGAACAATAGCTTGGTTTATAGAAGAGAAAGGGGATAAGAGTTACTTGAACTGCGACACCATGAGGCACTGCGCTGTTCGCATTGACACTGTTCAGGATCAAGCCAAGTAAAAACAAATGCTTCAAGGGGCAAGTAATCAAACTGAATTGCATGTTTCTGAACTGTCATTTTGCAGTTAAAATATTGATGTGTTAACATATAGGTAAACTTCTTGTGATTTTTTTTGCCCTGATTTGGGAGTAAACCAAATATAATAGTAACAGAATATCCCACCAGATTTTGTTCAGGGAAGCATGTTCCTACTTCTTCTCACAGGAGTGGGGAATTATCTTCTGTGCTGTATCTTTCTTTGCCCACAGGTCATCCAGATCCTGATTGGGGTGATTCACATTGGTTTTGGAGGTGTCCTTGCAGTTTTTATTCACAGCAATCCATTCAGCCCCTCTCCTGCTGTTTTATCAGGGTACCCATTCTGGGGAGGAATCACAGTGAGTAAACAGAAGCATTTCTGAAACAATTTTAGGAGCTTGCTGTGCTCGAGTCAAGGCTCAGGCGTTCATGAGGCCAGAGTCCAAATACCTCAGGTTGATTAAGTGTGTCACAAATGGGGTCTTTGTTGCTTGTTTCTTTGACATGTTTGATCTTAGGCTTTGTTAGCACCTAGCTTCCATGCAAGAGAAAGGAAAATGAAACCCAGGATGATCAGGTTTCCAATCAAGAACTGTTCATTTGTCAGGGCAATTGGTCACAGGAAGCAGTGGAATGATGCAAGAATCACAGGGGCCTTGTACAACAGGTAAAAGGAAATACGAAGGAAGCACGAAGAGGGGAGGAACCTACAGGGTAGGAGGGGGAGTACCAGAGAGGCTTATGGTACATGGCTTGTCCCTTTAAACAGTGGATCAAGGTGGGTAAAGATGTCAGCATCCCCACAGGGACAAATTGGTTAGGAAAAAAATATTTAGCTCTGCACTGGAAAATGACACAGGTCACCTCCCCTGCTTGAACATTGTATTCCAGTCAAACATTATACCATGTTTACTCAAATACAAGACAACCCTAAATACAAAATGACCCCCCCCCAATAATTAGATACTATATATGGGAAATAAATACATTTGTTAATTTTCCAGGTATCGAATCTGTATTGGAGAGTTGTCTTGAATCCCCTGCCCAACTGTTACAGCAGGGAGAGCAGTGGCTGGAGGGGAGCCAGGTGGTCCCCTTGCCCTCTGCCCTTCCCACTTCTTCCCCCTGCAGCCATCCTACCCTCCACGATCTGCACTCCCGCACCCCCAGCTCCTCCCGTCTCTGCCCTCCCTCCCACCCCCAATCTGTGCCTCTTCCCCCAAACTCCCCTCATTCTGCCTCATCTTCCCTGCTCCCCAATCTCTACCTCTTCCCCCATCTCCCCCCAGTCTCTGCCTGTTCCCTGCCCCCCACCCCCCTTACTGTCAGATGCTGCTCAGACTGTTCTGTCCAAGACCACACTACCTGGATGCTCAGCCATTGTCTGGCCATGCAGCAGTGTCAGTCATGTGGATTGGCTTGGCATGGAAAAGCATTTCCATGTTCTCCAGGGACCCCAGCTTGAACCAGGGCTGAGCTGCACCTGACAGGGGTGAGGGAAGGGGTGGGAAGCTGCAGAGGGAAGCGGGAGTTGGGGAGGGCAGGAGGCTGGTGTGGGTCTGACTCAGGGCCACAGCCAAAGCCGCAGCAGTACCTGCTCCCCCTCTGCTTCGTATGCGAATATAAGGTAAAGGATTTTGGTGGGGAAAATCATCTTACATTCAAGTAAATATAGTATTCTTTAACCTCTTTCCCATCAAGAGAGAAGTACCTTATAAGGGTGAAATGAATCCTAACCTAATACAAAGCATCACTTTCTCTTCCCTGAATAGTTCATCGTTTCTGGATCCCTTTCAATCGAAGCTGAGAAGAATCGCAACCTCCAGCTGGTAAGTTCCTCTCTAAGATTTCCTCCTCTTCTATAATGGGGATCAGGGGAAGGACACTTACTTTCCATCTTCAGGAGCTCTATCTAAGTAGATCGTAGATGGCAGGGAAAGCAATGACTGTTGATGGAACACATGGGATGTTGGAGGGAAAAATAGAAAAGGCAGATAGAGTCTTCAGGGAAAATAAGGATACAGTCAACCAATGGTGCACAATTCCAACATTGTTGATGGTTACTTACAAGGTGCACTTCCCAATGGAGGGACATCACTAGCGAGATCCACTCAGATTGAGAGCAAACCCTCAGCATGTTTCTAAATAGGATACTGAACTGCATGTTCAACCCCATGTACAAACTAAAGGATCACCACACAAGGGCACAGGATGCACTGTATTGCATTTCAAATACTTCCTTGTGAAATAAAGTGGTTTAATAAAGAATTGGAGTCAGCCAGTGGAATTGCCCTGGTGGGCCATGTGCGGCCCATGGGCTCTGTGCTATGCATCCCTGCTTTAAACCATCCCCTGCATTCTTTCCCAGCAATCTGTTTGTATATTCCTTTCTAGAAGCAGCTCCTGCCTCAAGCTTTGTATTTGTAAAAAAGCAACCAAAAAAACCCCACCTCAATGTAGGAGCCCCACTTATCAAAAAATACTGCTGAAATGGCAGCCTGACTCTCAGGTAACAAAAAACTATTGGGTCCAGATACTCTAGAGAATTAGAAAAAAATATAAAGAGCATTTAGAAGATGAAAGAGAAGAGAGCTTTTCACTTAGACTTTTATTTAGAGAAGCAGATAGCGCCTGTGGGACTTTAGGGCATGGTAAAAGTTAAATACAATTTTAAGGTCTGCCCTGAATAAGGATCTGGAGCTGATGAAAAAATGATACAGAGGCTTTCTCCTTCTCCTTATTCATGATTTACCTGAAATACTGAAATTTAACATTTTACCTGTTCTTCCCATAAACTGCTACTTCCCTTTCTATTAATTAGAGAAACAGGTTTTTACAGTGGCAAGACACTGAGCAAACTCTTCCTGTCATGAGCTATACTCCAATAAATGTGTCATACCAAAAATGCAATAACATTTAGATGGCAGTTGCATATTTCTCAGGTGACTCATAGCTCAGCACTATGCTGTGTAGCTGTTGTCACTAAAGGGCATTGTTTTATTTGTATGAAGTTCTGAAGTTCAGGCTTTTTCTGAATTCCAAGAATTGTTGGGTCCACTAAAAGTTGGTTGAACATTTCTAAATCAGTTTAGATCTTCTGTGTTTTTCTAGATGGAAAAAAAGATCAAGCTCCTGATTTACCCTAGAATATGCACATCCAGCCAAATTCTAATCCACCTGTTAGGTGGATGTGAGCACCTAAATGCAATTCTATACTACTTTGCTTGAGCCCCTGAAATACTGTTAATATAAAAAGTGGGGAGTGTAAACAGAGTATGCTTCTTTTTTGTGATTCAGTTTTAAATGTAAAACGATATTGTGCTACAAAATAGATGCCTGCAAATCAAAAAGATGGAAAGCAGACCAAAAGAAAGCCAGCATGGTTTAATGGCAGAATTTAGGGAGAAACTTGCTAGAAACATAAAAGGTAAAAAATGATTTAAGTACCTTATAAGCCAAAGTTCTGCCAGGGAATTACTTGGGCCTCACTAAAAACAACCTTCTTACCAGAAGCTTGGAGGGTTGCCAGTATGACTACGATATTTTAAAAGGGCTCTAAAGGGGATCCAGGGAACTACAGGCCAATGAGTCTGATTTCTGTTCCTAGAAAACTGGTAGAAATGATAAGAAAAAAAAGAATCATTCGGCGTATGAATGAACATGATTTGATGGGGAGGCATCAGCATGGTTTTGTCAAATGGAAATCATGCCTCGCCAACCTATTAGAGTTCTTTGAGGGTGTCAAAAAGCAGGTGGATCAGGGTGATCCAACTGACATAGGAACAGGGGGAACCTTGGTCATATTCTGTTTACGCTCCCTTTCAGCTTCCACTTTCTGCCATTGTGTGACACAGAATATGAGGGAAGATGGACTTATGGTCTGACCCAGTAAATGGCAGTTCTTATGTTTTTATGTATTAACAGAATTTTAGGACCTGAATAAGGTAGAACAGAATTGCGCTTAGGAACCTATGGGCATGTCTCCACATGAATTTAAGTGGTCTTAAATTTAATGCACATTAAGCTAATGCAGATTAAGTGGGTTTTGGCAGGTGTCTACATGTGGTGGGATCTGGGACTAACTTTAGTCCCAGGCCACTTCAGCCCTGCCTGCCATGTGCCCCTATGGCCACCAAGGGGAGTTGTAGCCTCTGGACACGTGGGTATCAGCACTTGGCAGCCATGCTGAAGTTAGATCCAGCTGCCAGCATTTGGCAGCCATCTTGGAAACATCCCCCTGCCCCCCACCCTCTGATCCCTGGCCAGCCCCTTCTCTGCCCAGGAGTCGCATGCCCAGTACAGGGGCAGCATGCGGCAGCTCTCTCCTTGCCCACCCTGCCTCCCTGCACAGGGCTGCCCCTGCCCATGCCCCTGCCAGCAACAACCAGTGTCCTGAGCTGCAGCTGGCCATGGTGCTGGCCCTGCTGGCCCCAGCAGGCATTTCTTGCCCAGGCCCCAGGAAAGCTGCATACCCACCAGCAGGGGCTAGGGCACTGGCTGTGGGAGGCCCTGGCCAACCTCCCTCCTCCTGCACGCCCCACTCCAGCCCACCTACCCTGCTGCCCACACCCCCCTACCCCATGCCCACACCCCCCTACCCCATGCCCACCTCCAGCACCACTCTGAGGACACGAACATGGTTGAAACAAATAAAACATTATTACCCTCACAACACCCACCCCCATCCCTCTCTCCTCCTCCTTCAACAAACAGTGCCCCTCCACCAACAATTAAAACTTTGCTTACAAGTGGGAAATTATATAGAGAGAAGGCCAACCCTGGGAGAGCAGGGGTGCCCATCCAGGAGCCCTGGGGCTAGGCTCTGGCCAGCCTCTGGTGGTTGGGTAGACCCAGGATTAAATTTCCTGTGTTAATGTGGAGTCATGCATCTACACGTGAATTAATCTGAATGAACTAATCTGGCTTAAATTTGATACTTGGTTTGGGCAGGTATTAAATTTAGGCTCACCTAGCCTAAAATCACCAGTTTTAAGTCACATTATAGGTGCACATGTGCAGACATGTGCCCCTAATGTGACTTAAATTGGATTCTAATCGCATTAAGTGACCATGTGTTGACACACCCTATGTCCGCTTAAATGCCTACTAGGTGAAGTAGAATCTGGCTCATCATGTATAACTGTCTTTGTGTGAACAACTAAAATGACTGACTTTCCCCAATAGAGACAAAAGTCTCTATCATATGAGGAAAAAACACTTTGGTACCTTAGCTGGCTGTCTCATGCATATGTTTATCCAACGTGGATTAGCCACTGGCATGAGAAAAGATCTCACCTTCTCCCAGTGAAGTCAATGTTAAGACAGTGTAAACTTAATCATCTACCAATCCCCCAACATGCCCACTATCATCAACGTCACATGTTCAAAACTCATGAGATTGTATTGCAAGTTATGATATCTTTAAAAAATATCTATCTAGCTGTCTATATAGCTAGGCTAGCTACTGTATTTACTTGAATATAAAGCAGGCCCCTCCAACCTCTTCAGCATGGGGGGAAATGTCCCTTGTCTTATAATTACATATGAAATGGAGGGGGGAGCAGGAGGCTTCTGAGCACTGATTCTTTCCCTGAGCCTGGGTTGGGACTAGAGTCAGACTCGCAGCAGCCTCCTGCCTCGTCCCCTCCTCCTCCCACCCCCCTCCCCACTCCTGGCTTCCCCTCTGTGAGGAAAAGCAGGGTTATGTTTGAGGGTAAATTTTCAGGGACTGGTTATTAGTTTAGCAAAGCCTGCTACCTAGAAATAACCTAACCTTTGTATGTCTTTTTCAGGTGAACAGCAGCCTGGGAATGAACATTGTCAGTTCCATCTTCTCATTGATTGGGATCATTCTTTTCTTAGTAGAGCTGAGTTCTAGTTTATTCGCCACCAATCCTGTACAAAAGGTACTTCTGTCAATAAATGACTATATTGTGTAATGGGCCATTATGCTGGGTATTTCAAAAACAGGCTCTTGGAATACTTCATGTTACACACAGATCTAGATGACCTACATTTCTGATTTAAAGCAAACAGCAAATACAGTAAAATTGCATCTACAAGGCCATATTGGCAACACAACCCCTCTCCCCAGATAGAACCAAAGTGAAGGTCTCAGCACCCAAGGGTAGCTGAAATGTTCAGTGCAACCAAAATGGCTGGGTACTAAGCACTAAAGTCACTCAGAAAAAGTGGTCTTTTTGCACAAAAACTCAAAAAAAAAAAAAAAAAAAAAGACAACAAAAATATTTTCAATTTATGTTTTTCACGGAAAATACAGAATATTCAGCTGAAAAAAAAAGAAAGAAAAGAAAGAAAGAAAGAAAAAAGAAAAGAAAAAAGCAAAAAAAAAAAGAATTGAAACATTTCTTGGTTTGATTCTGAACTTGCTCTAATTCCTTATGGGAGGGAATTGCAGGGTTGATGCCAGTGCCAAATCATAGGGGGTGCATGGGGGTGCACATGCACCCCCTGGGAGCACTGGTGCACCCCCTGACACGCTGTGCTCCCTGTTTAGATGACTGGTAGGGAGGGCAGGGGAGCGCCGGCCGGGGAGTGGGGGGTGGAAATGCCGTGCTTTCGGGAGCACCGTGGCTGCTTTTGGGAGCGCTGTGGCCTCTTCCTGGTTGGTGAGATTTCCCCCCCACCCAGTCAGTGAGATCAGCTGCGGGGGAACACCCCCTGGTTGCTGACTAGTGGGGGGGGGGGATGTACCCCCCCCACGACTCAAGAGGCACCAGTCACCCATGCTATCAATCTCTTCTCAAAGCTGGATGCTCTGATTAGACTACATCTCCCATGAAACACTTTTGTTTCTACGAATAGAAGTAAGGTGTCATTATCATCATTTAGCCCTGGTGCTCCATGGGACAATAAATCCAAGTGGGAAGCCTGGCCCTTACAGGAGAAATGGAGCAGAGTGCACATGGACTAGCAGTCCTATGAGGCTCTGGGGTAAGATATTTGGAAATGAAACATTCCATTTTTTTAAAGAGATATTTTGGTTTCAAACTGAAAACAGAAAATGATTCAGGTCTTAGGTGTCAGGATGTCAAATAAGGTGTCAAATAAGGATTTGATTTTTATTGGCAACTGATGCTTGTGCAAACAAAAGAAGTCAGAAACCCAACTTTCCATTGAAAACTCAATTCAGATCAAGATCTTGTGATTAGCCCCACCTAGAAGTCTGGCAAATCTGTCAAGCAGTCTCTTTGAGAACCCAGGATACTTACTGCTTTTGGGTCTCATCTTACTCTACTTTGCACTTTTGTGATGTCATTTTTGTCTAAGTGAAGTGGAGATAGTTATGGATCTCACTGCAGCCCTGTTCATTGTGTTATCAATGTGTTATCATGCATTATCTCAAGAGTAACTGGCATCCCACATGGCTCTGTCTTCCACAGGCCGCCTGGACGGGTATAGCAATTATGCTGTTCCTTTTTGCTGCAACGGAGTTCTCCATCGCAGTCTCAGTCTCACATGTCGGATGTCAGGCAACCTGCTGTGGACTGCAAAATGCTGTAAGTATTTTAGCTCTCTCAGTGGGACCTGAGTCTGAACATGTTTTGAAGATAGCAAGAGATGTTCTTCTGCTGAGCACCTTTCCTTTTAAGAGGGGAACACCTGGGAATGTAATTTATGTCTGGGGTGAGAGAGGGAAACAGAGAAAGACAACTCTTGAGTTAGGGATAGCTGAAATGCATCTGCCAAGTGTTTTTCAGTGGGAAATTGAATCTTTGACAAATGGAAGTTGCCTCCCTCCCCCCTATGATAATATTTTGTTAAAATGCAGAACACTCAAACTCCAAAATATTTGGAGTCTAGATGGCACCATAGGGTTTCATGGGTATTGTAGCTCATTTACTTTTAAGTTCTTGTTGCCCTTTTCAGGCAGGGCCCTCTGACAGTAGATCTTTCATAATGATCCACTATGAATGCGCATCTCCACCCCTTACCAAGAGGATATATATATATTGTTCAGCAAAATAATTTCACATAAGAGAAAGGGATGTGTAAAGCACCTAAACTATACCTCCACTGAAGCATTATGTCATTAGTTTGAATCAGCTTCTTTTGGGGTTGACAAATTTTGATCTTCATTTTTGTTGAGACTTTTGGCAGGGGCAGGGAGTACCCTACCAGTTCTTGCATGACTTCTAACCAAGCTGCTGGCAAGATGGTCTAGCTTAATACATTTTAATCTGAGGATAAAAATGCCACAGAATTGACTTTCATTTTTCAGTCTTCTAATACCTACCAGGCTGCATTTCATTGCATCCTAAGTTGGGGGTGGGAAATAGGAAATGCTAACTAATCCATATCTTCAGCTAGAAAACCAATGGGCCTGTCCGTGTGAATATTCCTTTGATGTGGAGTCCTCATATGAGGTAGCCTACTTGTCTCCCATGCTGGGAGCAAGTGTCTGGCACTGTGCTGGCAGAAATGCTCTCTGGTGGCCATCACCAGGCTGAAGTTCCCAGCTTTCACATTTTCTATGAAAAAATGAATTCTTCCACTGGGAGCAGACTCTGTTCCTGAGAAGCTTCATTTAGCCCCAAAACAATTTTGACAAATTTTCCACTAGCCTTGGCAGGGAGCACAAATCTAAAATGGAGGCTGATATTTGTTTTTTTATGGGAACCCATAAGTGACACAGACTCAACCCCTCTTCCTAGTACAGTGGGATGTACAGCCATGTGTAGATGAAATGAGAGGCACAACACTTTCAAGCAGGCTAAATGCTTTTGCACCACTTTAATTGTGTTGGTGTTTGCACGCCTTGGCAGCATATTGCGCATTAATTCCAGCTACTGTAGGAAATTCAGTGACGTAATGCGCCTTAAATGACTTGGGGGGCAGTAAACTAAAACTCCTTCGAGGAGTTTTAGTTTGCTGCCCCTATAGCCATGGAGCGAAGCACTGGGCTCCATGCAGCTCAGGGGCTCTGCAGGAAGCCCTGCAGGCAGCCTGGTAGCAGACTAGGAAAGCAGGCTCTGCCCAAAAAAAGCTGCAAGCCTGATCTTCCCCCCAACCCCTGGAGTCTGCCTGAGCTGTGTAGGGGCCCAGTGCCCCCCGGGACCACCCAAGCCGGGTGCCTGTGGGCAGGTGCCACCTGTGGGGTGGCCACCACTGCTGCAGAGGGAAGCACCAGCCCCCACACTCCAGGGACCGTTTTGCCCACCTGCAGCTGGTCCTCCCCTCCGTGCCAGAGAGGCAGCTAAGTCAGCGGGGTGTGTGGATGACATGGGGGTTTCATCAGCCCTAAATTGAAGAGGTGTTTTTTAAAACTTACCACTTCAATTTAGGGCCCCTGTTTCATCTACACACCCCCTACCATATCAGCTCTTTCAGAGCCCAACAGCAAACAAATCACAATCAGGACCCCAAAGAGCTTCTTGATTCTGTAAGCAAAGTTTACCAGACAGAGCAGCATTTTACGGCACATTTTACCTTAAACCTCCAGAGGGGTTGTAAGCTGGTAAGGTAAATGAGTAACCAAGGTAAATGACACTGGCACATCTCAAGCACCTGCTGACAGTGGTAAGCATTAGAAGGGCATTGACAATAACAGGAGTGACCAGAGGGATGAGGAAAGTCATCTTTTTGTTTTGCAGTCTGTGTTTTTTGTGCCATATCATGTCAACACAGATGTTGGAGCTCCATCTGCAGCAGCATCCTCAACTCAAGTTTATATCAATGCAGCTGCCAATCCCTGAGCTGAGACTGAGTTGGGGGAGCTAAATTAACTTCTTATTGCACCTGCACCAGCAGCAGATGCTCTAAGGAGTAAATCCCTGCCCTGCATGATCCACTTTTATTCCATTTCATGAATGCACTTCCAGCACCCAGGGCTTCACTGATTACCAAGGGACTATATTCTTCTCTTTCTTTATCATTTACTGATTCTACACTGCATGAAATGACATGGGGAGTTGATAGAGCTACTCCATCGAGAAACAGGCTTCTCTCCTGGTCATTTCCTTTACTGACTTCTTCAATAAAGAGATTGAAAAAGGATCCTGACTTATTTACTGTAATGCACTGGTTCAGAGGTGCATGTGGTTTGCTTGTGTGCCTATGAATGTGCATGGCACGTATGCCAGTATGTATGCACCATATTTTCATGTAGCATAAGTGTACACGGTGTGTGTAAACCCATATATAACTCTCAACACATCTATGTTGTGAAGAAAGGTGTCCCCTTGCATTAAAATTGTCACTATAACCAGAACTACTTGGTTTGCAAAGGGCTTCCTAGCGGCTTCCACACATCTTGCACGTCCCGATCTAACTGATGGACTGGGATATACCTAGGGGGCAGGGGCCATGAACAGAAGCCCTTGCTGTAATTCCTCTCTTCCAACTGGCTCACAACCAGTGCTGGGTACTGGGAGAAGCCTATTGAGATAGTGGGGAATAGCTCCAAACATAAAGTACTTCTAGGCTGCATTGGCAGCATTACCAAACAGTCTAGCTGTAGCAGCATGGATATCAGTGTGGCTTATTTTACTAAAACAAACAACTCATAGTGAGACAACTATATGTAGTATCTGTCTGTAGCAGCCCTTGCTACATGGGGCAAGTACTGCTACTGAAGAAAGGTGTTGGTTTCTAGAAAAGTAGTTATTTTCTTTGTATTTGTCTGTTGGGTACCATCAATTCAAAGAGTTTATTTTATTTTTTTAATGAACAAGATACTGCCCAAGGTTTGACCCAGTAATCCCACAGCATTTCAAATCCTTATTTCCAAATCGCTTTTCATCTCAATTTTCTTTTATATTCTATTATAATCACATTTTTACAAAATGAATCAGAACAAAACATTTTGATTGACCCAGAGCCATCTGGTGGGTGGGGGTAGCAGGAGGTTTTCATCTTGTAAGAAATTTCAAAATTATTTTTTATTTTGTTCTGTTTTGTTCCAAACTGAAACCTTTCCCATAAAACCAAACAGTCCATTTCCTGATCAGCTCTAGCATAGGCTTGCCATATAGGGCAAGCTCCATGGAAGTTACTAAGCTTCTCCTTGTGAAAGCAAGTTCAGAATTTGAACTTGGTAAATACTGGTGTGTTGCACCCTGTGTCTGTGCAGCTACCTACTAGTTGCATTACTTCCTTGCAAAGATGAAATCCCAGTGAAACCCCAGTTAGCAGGTAGATGCATCAATGAATGAATGGTAGAGATATGCTGGGGAAGGTTGGATGAGGAGTGTGGTGGCTTCCTGAGTTCTACTAAGGGTCATCCCATTCATTGCTCCATTCATGGAGAGAGAGCCCCAGGGATCAAATCACAGTGAGCTCCATCAGCCAAGTGTCACAGAAGAATGAGGGCTCAAAAAGGATGAGAGGAGATGGTGGAATCTCTGGGAAACGAATGGAGGTCATTTTAACAGGGGGGATCAAGAAGGACCAGGAAGGCAATGTGCCTGCAGGGAGGTTGGGGAGTGGGGGGGCAGAGACGGGGGGGTGGCCAGGAGAAGGTTGGAAGGCACCCCTTGACCACACTATTAGAAATTATATAATGCATCTCTCTAGGGGACTATAGTATGGGACATAGAGTGGCCCTTGGATGCCAGCCTCAGGCAAAAAGAAGAAATAGCAGCATCTGGTCCCCAGGCAGGACACTGAACCCTGAGGGACTGAATCCCACACATCTCTTAGACATTACTAGAAGCATCAGTGTCCTGAAAATATTCCCAACTGCTCTCAGCACTAACAAGGAGTCATTCTAATAGCTTCCCCAGGGACTTCCCTAAAGCATCCTGACTCCAGAGGCCCTGTGGGGAGTAGAATTGCTCTACTCAGGAAAATCCAGTATAAATCATCCATGCCCTTCATCCAAATGGGAACCCTCTGGAGTTGATTCAGTAATGTACTTTCCCTTCTTCAGGTAAGTCTGGCTGCTCTGGGTTACAGAAGAGAGGTGTCTATTCAGTAGGATGTCATTTACCCCCTCAGGATTTCCTGGGATGAAAGTATTGTGAAGCTCCTTCCCTGCTTACTCCATGTCCAGTTTTCAATCTTAAGCTTCCAAGGGCTTAACTGGAAATAATCAATACCCCTTTCCACCCAGGAGGGGAGATGTTCAGATATCCATGCAGTACGCCACACACATTTGACCAGAGCCACTGGTTAGACCTAGGGGTGATTCCAGAATCTACATTTGGCACCTTGTGTGCAAAAGGGTTGCAGTGACTACTCACATCCAGCTTTGACATTACAATTGGTTTTACTGAGAGGTTTGCTGAGAGAGGCTCTGTGGTTACCACAGTTGTATTCAGAAAGGACATAGTGTCAAGAACAAGGTGTAGACAAGGAGCAGAAAAGAGCATGGGTCCCCTCTGAGATACAGACTCTCATGACCATGCACTTTCCTCATAGCCTCCATACACAGTGCCTTGCTGCAGTGTCAGCTTGGGTCACCCACTAAGTCTGAGATCCCAGGGTCAAAAAAAACAGAGCCTGGCCAGTTGGAGCTATTCTCCGACTGCCAGCCAGGTTTTCTGCCATGGCTGCAACCCTGGGAAGCCCTCAGGACTCCAGGTAAGACTGCGGGGGCCAGCACAATTGTTGGCCCCAGCCTCCCCTACCCCACCCAGGGTAGCCTGCCACATGCCAGAGCGTGCGTGGCACAGGTGTTCCCTGGGGAAAAGTACTTGTCCCCAGGGAAACAAACATCTGGGATTGTCTGGACATGCTCAGGTTAGGCAGTCAAGTTGCAGAGGAACCAGTGATTAAGGACATTGTGTCACTACCAGCTTCCAAAGCATACTGGGAGGGGATGAAAGTCCTGACTGAAGAGGAAGGGAGGGGGCAAGAGTTGAATACTTACAGAGTGACCTAGGAATGATAAAACCCTCTTTCCAGTCTCCACTGAGGAAAGCAGAAAGACTCCCATATATTTAAATGGAAGGTCTGCTTCAGTAGGGTTCATGACAGTATGTAAATGACTAATAAAAGCCCAGCCCATTGAAATCAATGAAAAAAAAATCTCATTGACTTCAATAGATGCAGGATTTCATCGTCGGTGCCCTCCATTTTCAAAGGCTTTAAATGCCTTCATTTCTGGCTGGCTTTCATGGGGTCTGTGAGTGCTGAGAGTCCCTGAGGACTGGCTGTGGGTTTTAAAACATTTGTTTAGTGTAAAGCAAACACTTGCTTAGTGGACCATGAGGGAATACAATATTACAATGAAGTAAGGAAAATTCAGGCTAGTTATTACATAAAATAACTGAACAGTGCTGTAAATTGGCTATAATAAAACCACAATCACCTACCATTAAGTGTTGGTATTGAAGTACTATGAAACATAGGCTACTGGTAATTAAACTTAACACTGGGCACATCTACATGCTACGTCACCATACAGTATGCTACAGTGACATAGTGATCATGTGGGTCTATATGTGAACACTGGCTATGTTGCCGTAGCAGTGCTAATAGCACACCGCTATGGCAATGTAGTTGGGAAATCTTCCCATGTGCCACCAGTATGGCAAAGTATGGGCCACAGAAAGCAGCTTGGCAAGGCAAGAGGTGACATTTTCCCTCGTGAAGGCTTTCATGGTGGCCAACATTTTGCTGGAGAAACTTGATTACTCGAAGTTAAGGGACTACCTGAACCAAAATGTGCCAAATGCTAGCAGTTTTCTGGGTGCCAACAAGCTTCATCAGGACTATCTCCCTGAAGTAATCACTTCACATGTACAGTCCACAAAGGCTGCCTTAGCAGCATGTGAATCCTTCGGCATTATGGCTGATGAAGCCACTGACCCTCAAGATAACTATGTGCTGCACATTTTATTTGTACTGGAGATCTGGGCAGACTGAGACATGAGCCGGTCCACTTCACATCTGTCAATTTTTCTACCGTGCCTCAAGCCGTCCTGAAGGTAATTGTCAGTTATGTCTCAGACTTTAACAAGATCTCAGAATTCCTGTCTGGCAATGCCATGTACATGTGAAAGGCTTTCTCCGATGTGCTCCAAGGAATGCTGCCCAATGCAGTTCATGTTACCTGCAATGCACACATGTGGTATATGCAGTTCCCCAATATGCATAGCCTGGTACCTTCTTTCAGAAAAGCCTTCAAGCACTGTCCAAACCATTAGGTCTGGTACAGGGAGTACATTGCCAGTCAGAGTGGGGACTCACATGGCACTGCACTGCTGCCAACAGAGCCTGTGCTCACACAGTGGAATTTGCGGTGCAATGCAGTCCATTACCACACTAAGTATATACAGTACTACCACCAATTTGTGAGTAAGGAACTGAAAATCACACCCAGCACAGTGCATGCTTAAGCTTCACAAACTCTTAGGGTGAAGTGACATTCAAGATCAAGTGACATTTGTGGCTGACAATACCACCCAGTTCATGGAGCTCCTAATGTGGTTTAAAGGCCAACAGGCTGTGATCTACCATGCACACAGCAAGTTGATGGATATGATAAGCTGGGTCAAAGACAGAATTTCAAGAACTGTCAAGCTGTCCTCATGAAAACCAGTGGAGAAGAGACCTGTTCCAGGCAATAGCTTTGAAGCTGAACCATTACTACAGGTACAACCTCTCACTGCCACCATGGTTAAGACAACCGGCTAGCCCCTTCTTTAGTGCTGCTCACATTTTGGGCCCCAACCAAAGTGAGTTGTGACCTTCAGCTACTGAAAACAACCTTTGGATGGCAGAAAAAGCATGATAATGAATGTGCTGCTTACATGAACTTCATCAAAGAGTGTCAGATGCCTGTGCCTGTACCTATATGCTGGGACTCTGTGACCAGTTTTCAAATCTTTGCACATTGGCAAGACACTGCCTCACCTTTCTAACAAACTTAGTGGATGCTAAACATGCCATCTCAGCGTATGGAAAAGTGTTCACCCCACAGAGACAGAGAATGTCTGCAGCAACTG